AAAAGAAAAAAGAAAAGAAAAGAAAAGAAAAAGCAAAAATGCTCAGAAGCTGAGAAATAACCACAGAAGATATTAAATCCTAACAAACAGCCTCCTTAAGAAAATGAAAACCGAATGAAGAAGAACGGCGCCCTGTATCTACATGCACTTGAACAAAGTCTCGCCGGTGCTGATCCACATCCTTCCCCACAGCCCCATAACTGCACAGCTGCAGCCCCAGCAAGGCACCACCCCCCAAGTTCACAACGTGTCCCTGCCCTTCTCTGCCACGGCACTCTACTGCAGATTCACGCTTCCTAGATACAACCACACGGCCACACAGCCAGGACAAAGAGAGACCCGCAGCTTACTGAGAGGAACTCTGCCCTTCAGTGAACGACCACCGCACTATGCAAACAGCAGCTTCTCACACAAACCATTTTAGGCGATCTGATCGTGGCTCTGTGCAACTCCTGTGTGAAGGGCTTTAACTTCCGACTTACAGAACTATATCTGCAGTGAGTCACCCCCCCCCTTTTTTTTCAGGACAAAGTGATGTATTTTCAGAAAACAAAAAAACACCAACTTTTCTATGAAAGTCTCTAGTCCATCTGACAGGCAGGTTTCAAAGAATTCTGGAACTAGAGATAACTTTTCTTGGGTATTTTCAAAAGGTGGGTTGTTCCCACTGCCCCTGCTGGTCAGCAGGTAAGGCCATGAGGCTCCTGGGCATCTGCCCATTGAATCCCAATGGCCCAGGACTTGACAGGCTGCTGGGCCCCAGTCCTTAAACAGCCCCTCTCACTCAGTCCACTTCTGAAGCATGTTAGAGAGTGGGGTGAGAGCAATCACGGGGTGAGCCCTCTCTTTGGCAGCTCCCATAGATAAAAACCACGAGAGAAGGTCCTGCCTCCTGTTCCACCAAGCCACCTGGTTTCTATGCCACTAGGATATGGGACAGAGTCAGGGGTTACCTACATCTCAGGTATAAGAGGATGCTCTGGAAGTTGAGGGGAAAGGCCTAGGGTTAAGAAAAGAATCTGCTCAATGGGGTCTCCTGTAGTTCTTACATAGCACCTTTTAAATATATTGGTGGTGCTTCTACTGTCAAATACCAGCTTTCCCAAAGACCAGCTGATCTCTACTCCAAGAATGAAGTTATTAAATTCTGTTACACAGGCAGCAGGAAACTGTGAACCAGGCTAGCTGCGCCGTCAAGGGATGAGGGTCCCAGGCTCATTCGAACAGGAACCCAGTATATTATAAGCAGTCCACTGACCTCTTTTCTTCATCTAAAGTTTAAGGATATCCTTTGCTTTTACTACATGCCAAATATGTTCTGGGGCTCAAATGTAACTAAGGTGATGGGACTTTGCAACATTTAAACTGCTTTTCAAACGTAAGGTGCGGTGGTTTTGTGTTCACAGGGTCTGGGGAAGCCGCTGAATCCAAAGAACAGAAGCCTTGGCCGGCTGTTCCCAGTTTTCCCACGCATTATCTCATTCAATCTTCACGTGGCTGTGCTTCAGACGGGCTGAGCCGACAATCCCTGATCAGTCGGTGTTTAACAAGGACAGTAGGTTCCAGCTCCCCCAGCACTTCCACAAGTGACAGAAAGAGGTTATTTATCACGGTTAGAAAAAAAACAAAGAGGCAAGGTTTATTTCAGATTTCCAACTAAAGATAGAAGGAGATCATTTTACAGCAAAATTTGAAACGAAGACTCTCATGAAAAGATGCAACATGGCATCCTGCCTCAGGTAAAGTGCTTAGAGTCCAACAATATGGACGGGATCCCACCTCTTACATAAGAGCACAGTGGTTACGGGAAGCAGCAACTGTGGATGACACTGTCCAGGTCTGAACCCCGTGTACTGTCTGTGTGACCACCTGGGCACATAATTTAACCTCTCTGTGCCTCAATCCAATCACCTGTAAGATGGAACATACATATGACAGTATCTGCCCTTTTCACCCGCACAAGGTTATGATAAAAACTAAATGGGTTAATATTTCTAAGCACTTAAAACAATATTTGGCACACAGTAAACATGGTTTTTGTTAAATAAGCACCTACCTTAGAGAATTCATGGAAACAATCAATAAGATATAGATAGTTTGTTTAGTAATTAATGTAACTAGAGGAAGTTAGTCATGAATTTAAAAATGAATAAATATAGGACAGGCATGGTTGCTCACACCTGTAATCCCAGCACTTTGGGAGGCTAAGGCAGGAAAAGAGGCCTGGACTTCAAGAACATAGCAAGACCCTTTCTCTACAGAAAATTTTTTAAATTAGCCAGATGCATGCCTGTAGTCTCAGCTACTCAGGAGGCTGAGGCTGGAGGATCACCTGAGCCCAGGAGTTCAAGGCTGCAGTGAGCTATGATGGGGCCACTGTACTCTAGCCCGGGGAACAGATTGAGACTCTGTCTCAAAAAAAATAAAAAATAAAAAATGGATATAAATTTATAGGTAGCTGAGCAGACAATTTAAAGCTGACTTCAGGCCTGAGATCACCCAAATCAACTTTACTAGGCCTCCTGGTGTTCAAAGTGACCTGACCAAGAGAATGGACTGAGACAGGGCAAGGGGGTCTCCAGGTAGGAACTGCGGCAGCCAGCACTGACTGAGCACTTCACCTGGCCTCATTTAAGCTTTACCCTATCTCCATAAGCCCATGACTTTAGGACCATGCACCTTATCTACAGATAAGGACCAAGGCTAGAAATGCTAGAAATGCTAAGTATTACCTCCACGGTCTCCCGGTGGCTCTGTGGCAGAGCCAGCACTCAAGTCCAGACAGGCTGGAGCCCAAGGCCTATGTATTAGCAGAATGCAGAAAACTCTGGTAACTGCGGTATCGTTCCACACACAATTTCTGAAAGTGCTAATTAAGATACTCATTGATACATATTTTTCTTGCTATTAATTCAACTTTTAAATGAAGTATAAATCTTCCCTAAACTGTAAAATTAAGCTTGTGAGGGGAGGGTGGAACCATGGTCACCAACTATAAACTACCTAAAATTCAACAAACTTAATAGAAATAGAGTCTCCACATACCAGTGTGTTATCTAATACTATTTTATTCTCCTTAAAAAACATCTCTCTTACCTTCCTAGAGAATTTCACACATATAGACTTATTTTCTCAAATGGCAAAGAAAACCACCAACAGCAATCTCCTGAAGTAAGACAGTGGAAGAAGAAAATAAGGAACATAGAGACCATTACTTTCCAGAAAGGGTTTGAAAGCAACACTAGAAAAAAAAAATCCTTCTTAATCCCAGTGCTCTTTAAATAGACATTTAAAAAGCTATTGATACAAATCAAAACATGTGCAAACTGCCAGAAGAAATCCATTTTTCTAAACCAAGGAGGGTCTTGCTTCTGGTTTACTTTAGAAATTTGAGGTTTCACAAAACAGGTTTCTATGACTTTAACTGCACATAAAAATAAATGTGATAATCTGGTCTCCAAAGCTCTTGAATCCAACGAGAATAAACTGTTCCCCTGCCACGATGGTCCTGACTATGGACCCTGTTCCTCTGTGACCCTCAACTGTACTCACAAATACAACGCTAACTTTGTCTGCTGGGCCCCGCCTTCACCCTTCATCACTTTGGGCCGCTGGACGCTTCCACATTGATTAAGGGCAGAAACAGTCCCAAACGGATTCAGCTTTCTTGAAAATAAACTCCCTTAACCCTCCGGTGCTAGCTTACCAAAAAGAAAGGAGGTTGCCCTTTCCCACTCCCTGGCAGACCCTTTTGCGTGAAGCCCTGGGAGGCAGGTAATCCAGAAAAAGAGAACGTCTCTAAGCCGCAACCCCAAGCCTCAAAATACATCATGTTACAATTTGTCCTACTCCTTTCAAGCTCCATTCAGAGTAGATCACTTTGTTTTCCCAGGAGATCTAGTAATTTTAGGCAATGTGTCCAAAAGAAAAGACACTGCAATTATGTTTGGTGAAGGGCTGTACTGAAGAGGACACAGGAACTTTTTTAAATGTCCAGTCACATCTTGACCATCTCCAGCAAAGCTGCCAACTTGAAAAGCAGGCCCTGGAGCCAAATTGAAAAAAATCTCCAAAAGTACAAAAAAAAAGTGTCAAGGAAAAACAAAAATATATATTCCATTTTTCACATAATGTTCTGCCAAACCCCATGCCCCAGGACCACACACGTTTTGAGACGACGCCTCATGCTGTGTGAGCGGTCAGGTCTTCCACAGCCCTGAAGCAGGGTCTGGGAAAACGGCAGCAACGAGACCAGTTGAAAACCTGGCAGGGCCATGGTGGTCACACAGCTGTTGGCTGCTTCCAGCAAACTCTCTATGGGAAGTGAATCTCCACAGCTAGGGTGCTGTACTTCCAGCCCTCACCGCCGCTCCAAGTGCTAGCTACTAAGTCTACTTTAGCAATATTGACTACTGATGTTAGCGTGCCATTTAGGACTACTCAGTTCACAGGTTTCCTGTCCCGTGAAATACTTTACACCAGTTATCAAGAGATAATGTGGTCCTCGCCAGTTCCCTGCTTATCGTCTCACTCCATTGCTAACGGAATGTGTTCTCCTCCATTCTCCTGGTCCAAAAGAACCTCCCACCACCACCACAAAAACAAACAAACAAACAAACAAAAAACAGCCTTCAGAAGAATCTCTTTCAAGCTCTTGGTTTCCATGCTTCGAAGCCCTGGCCCAAAGCTGCGCTGCTGCGTAACAGTTCACACCCCTTTCTCAATGTGATGGCACCACCATTCTTCAGTTATCACAGTACTGTACCTTTCAGATATACAGCATCGGTACCATGATAACCGAAAAAGGACAGTTCAGTCTCATATCTACCTGAATATTTCCTCCCACCCAGCTCACCATCCACAGATGGCCACATGATGACCCCTAAGTACGTAAGCACGTGCATGTGTGCACATACACACAAACACAACAACGTCAGTACTCAAATAGGCAGTTTTCAGCAACCTCATTTACTGTAGATAGGAAATGCTTCTTTCGCTGTGCTGTTTATAATTCAAGTTTCCTGGTTAGCTGTTCTTTTTGGAGAGTGCTTGCTTTTCTATCTTAGCAGTCAACTTCTGCTAACATCCAATGGCCCACTTCTACCATTTCCCTACTTGCCCAGTAGCATTACTGCAAACTCTGCCCTTCTTCTTCCTCCCCAGCCAGCTCGTACCCTATCGTCTTAGACAAAAAACTACCCATTTTGCCACAGCAAGTGAGACTGCTAGGGAAAAGAGCAATTACAAAAACTAATAACAAAATCCAAGCTACACAGAACCAGTTGTTTACCTCCAAAATGGAAACAGAATCTAAAGCACAAAGAAAAGAAGAACTGCCTAACAGATATCACACAAATGTAGTTACATGGGAATGACAGATGGGAATGAGGAAAGAAAGGAAGGCAAAAGTCCTTGTAAAAATAAAGCCCATGTTAAGAGTGACAACTGCTGGCTCATTTAAGGATCAACATAAGCAGATGTTCATAGTGACTGGCTATGCACAACACAACACCTTTGTCATTTTGTGCAATTAGGAAATTAAACTGGACAGAATAATGAGGTTGAAAGAAAGCAACTTACGTGTAGGGAGAGAGTGGTCCTAGCAGGACTTTGGAAACATCCTGCTGTCCAAGGGTCATGAGCAGTAGTGCCAGGCTTTGGTTGGTTGAGTCCACACAGCCACCCTGTAAACACAAATTAATCATTGTACAAACCAGAAAATGGACAACAAAAGAGAAGAGGAAAAAAAAACCCAGAAATATATACGCAGAATATCAAAACCCACAGAAGAGCAGGCTGCAAAGTCAGGAAATAATAAAACAGAATATAGATCTTATAAGAGTAATCCTTGTATGGGCTAACTTTAGGGATTAAACTAACAGTTCATCAAAGCTACTGTAATAGCTGAGACTATCTGAACGAATAGACATTCAAATCTCCTGAAGTGAATCTAATGAAAAATGAAACTTTCCCTTTGTAATTAAAGCGGCAAGAGGACACCATTTTTATTGAAGATAAGCTCCCCCAAAAAAGCATAATCAGTTCTAGGAAATGTATAGTTAATCCCAAGGGTTAAGTAGATGACACTTGTATTTATTTAATCTGTTATAGAACAACACAGTCAATCTGACATGAAATGGCCTTTAAGGTCTTACTATTACACTTATGCAAATACATTCAGAAACTGCTCCCCATGCTATATTAACTTCTCTTCTTCATCTCTTCCTGAGTGCCTTAAAACTGCAGACCTGTTACGTTTAGATCCCTCCATTCTTTTTTTTCTTTTGGAGACAGAGTCTCAGTCTGTTGCCCAGGCTAGAGTGCCGTGGCATCAGCCTAGCTCACAGGAACCTCAACCTCCTGGGCTCAAGCGATCCTTCTGCTTCAGCCTCCCGAGTAGCTGGGACTACAGGCATGCGCCACCATGCCCGGCTAATTTTTTCTATATACATTTTTAGTTGTCCGGCTAATTTCTTTCTATTTTTTTAGTAGAGATGGGGTCTCGCTCTTGCTCAGGCTGGTAGATCCCTCCATTCTTATTACTTATTATTCCCCCCTTCCTTCCTTTTCTTCCAAATTAATAAGCAGGACAGAATTCTCTTTTAAACACTTTCTCCTGAGGCACAATTGCTTTGGTTGCCTTTCTTCTTTCATTCTTGATTTTCTCAACCATTCCAGCCGTTCTGTTTCTATTAGATGTATATATAACTGCTGTTTAAATTTGTGCCTTAAAAATGTCTGTATTTCTGGTCATTCTTTCTGGGATAACTTTATTTAAAATGACATAAACTTAAATTGTACATAGTAAAAGCAGGCTGATTTCAAATTCCAACATATTTTGCACAGGTCACAATAAGAAATCGTTTCTGACCACAGCACATTACTATCCAAGGCCAGACTGAACAGACAGGTGGCCAGTTAGCACTGTTCATGTGGGTACACACCACCCCCAACCCTCCTGTCTAATGTATGTAGGCTAAGGAGTAAATCAATTCTCAAGTGCAGACACTCATTCTCTGGCTGTCAGAAGTCATTTAGTAGCCCTGATAATGGTATAAAAATAAGGAGATTTATCCTACCGCTAGCCTTTATGAAAATGTATTGCTCTTCCTTAAACTACCTTAGTTAATAAAGGACAGGGAACAATATCTATCTCAATTAGCAAATTTTAGGACAAGAGTTCGTTTTTTCCATCCAAAAAGGAAAACCTGGCCCATAGAGAATATGAGGATCAACAAAACTCATTCTGTGTTACAGATCTTGCTCCCTTTCATAAGATTGCCTAAAATTATGTTCTCTGTAGTTTCTGCTTCCTGTCACTGTTGTTATTCCACTATTGTCAACTGATTCCTATCACATGCCAGACCAATATTTTCATGCAATGTTAGGGTCCATGTATAGGACATCATGGAGGGAGTGGGGAGTGGGTGCTATCAGACTGCCAAGGTGGGAGTGGGGGTAGCAGGGGAGAGGGAGGAGGTATCACTCAGCCGACACCAGAGGATTTGAGGAGTGGAGACTTGAGCTAGCCCTGGAGGGATGAGCAAGGTTTGGAGGGGAAGGAAGAGCACAACAATGGGGGAAATAATGACCCAGGGCCAGCAGCGAACAGGAGCCCAGCCTGAAAGGCACTGCAAGCTGCCTGTAGAGAAGCACGTACAACAGAGAGAAGGTGGGCAGCCAAACTGAGGTGGGGCTTTCCTAAATGGGTTAAGAATTCTGACTTTATCTTAGGAAGGTGGAAAACTAATGAAGGTCTCTGTGCGCAGGAATGAAGAGATCATATCAGTGTTTTAGAGGGAGATTCAGACTGAAAAGGGTGTTGGAAGGGATTTGGAAAGAACTGCCCCACAGGAGACGCAAAGAGCCAGTACGCACAATCCAGGAGTGGGGCAGGGCGGGAAGGCAGGCAATGGATGGAGCAGTGAAGAGGATGGAAAGAAAAAGGCAGCTCCTCAAAGCCTGGGACAGAATCAACAGAGCTTGGCAATTGACAAGAAAACAGGAGGGATTAGATCAGAGGCTTAAAACTTTGATAAACAACACCTTTAAAAGGGATGGATTTTTATTACTCATTCAAATCATGTCATAGCATAGTTGTGAAAAGAATTATTCAGAAAAGAATGAAGTATTTTCATCCTTTAATAATAAAGATCACAGATACACAAAGGAAATTTTCTTAATCACTAAAAACAAAACAAACTTTCTCCAGGCATAATGAAATGGTTTAATGTAGATCTCAACTAAAGAAAAAAATTCAAATAACCTAATCCAAGCTGCATGTTTTTCCTGTTGTAGACTGGTGGGCTGTGCTTTCACCCTGAGTTTTATAATCTGCTATTTATAGGAATATGAAACCCACATTGTAGCTGTGCCCATAGGCTGCTACTGGACTGCTCTGTAACGTGATGCTTCCAATTCTCCCAAGGTCTACTAGAAAGGGATGGAAGCGTCCCCACGGTCAGTCAGGGAGAAGGCCTGCCAGCCACGACAGGACCAAGAAAAAGAAAGCTGCACAAATCAACAAGGGGCTTAGGGTCGCATATATCACATACCTTTTTTCCCACTTACAAATGTTTGGACAACAAACTTGGTGAATTAAGTAACTGGCAGGGCAACCTCCTGATCATTTACCCCTAAACTTTTAGTTACTACCCATCTTTCAAAACATTACTAAATTTAGCACGAAAAATGGAACTGATTTAGCATCAAAAAATCTGAGGCCAGACCTAGACTGCAGAGGACTTGTGAAAAAATACCTCCTCCTTCAGGAGGATTTCATCTCCTGCCTCCAAGATTTCCCAGCTAACTGGTGAATTGAGAGGATAGAGCCCCTGTTAAAACTTACCTGCCCTGTCAACCCAGTGAGGCTGGATCTCTACTCACTGACTATTTCAACTAATCTGTTAAACTAGTTAATGCTAAACTCTTTGGCTTAAGCCCTTGGAAGAGGAAGAAAGTTGCCAAGGGGCAAGAATGAGAGACAACAAACTACTTCCCGATCAGTCCTCTCCGAGACCCTGCAGAGGCTGAGGACGTACCCTGTAGATTTCCTCAAGCAGCAGCCTGGCACAGTTCCTGCCGAGGTCCTCTGGAAGCACTGCTGTTCCCTGGCCCTGGGGGTTGGAGGCCAGTTCAGCACTGAGGAAGGTGCCATTGGTAGTCTCAGCAACCAGTGACAACCCAAAGCCCGGAGACCTGGGGATACAAAGGCAAAGACACTGAGTAGGGTTAATGAAATGGGGTTTATACTCACCAGCATGTAGAAAGAGAAGACAAACACTTTTTTGATGGCACTGTGTTCTAAGTTCTAAAGCTTCCTTCTGGGTACATTAACCTCATAGCATTGCTATTAGCTTACGTTGTAGATATAGATGACTTAGTGAGGGCCTTTGTGAGGGCCTTAGTGAGGGCACAGAAGGCAGAAACGAGAGAGATGCGAGTTCGAGTTGCTTTTCCTATTAGCCCTCTCTTCCCCCATCTCCTACACTGTAAATGCTCATACTGTGAGAGTTTATAATAATCAACAGTAGAAGATAACATTAACAAGGGCTACCAGATACTGAGCACCTACTTTCTGCCAATTACTGAGCTAGGGGCTTTGCAAATACAATTTGTGATACTACATCTCTGCAGAGTAGATATCACTGTCTTCATTTTACAAATGAGGAAATGGAGAAATGAAGCAACCTACACCAGGTCCACACAGCTAGAAAGTGAGCTTCAAACAGAGATCTTCCAGATTCCAAAGCCCACACAAGTTCCCCGCCGCAGCACTGACTCGACCCTCAGCTACACCAACTCAGGAGGTACGAAAGGCCTGGAAACCACCTGACCAAAACTTCCTGAGAAACATCAGGCTTTTTCCCCCATAAGGAAAAATGTCACACAAGCCAGAAAGGGACTGGAAAAGATACACCTTTATGTTTTTGTCCCCAAGGGACAGCTCTAAACTTAGACTTCAATTAATATTATCAATGAGCTGGCACCATGTTCTCTCCTATTGTGTTTCCACCACCCAACAGCCAGAACCTAACACCCTTCTTGCCCAGGACCATCGCTGATGCATTCATTCGTGCATCCAACAAACACCCAGGAGAAGCTTCCATGGGTCAAGAACCGGGGACATCACGGTAAACACCAGACTTCCTGCCCTCACAAAGTCTGGTGACAACCAGTTTGGCCACAAAAGAAAATCAGTCCATAAACAATAAAAACAAGCACCTCTCCACAAAATTTCAAAACCTGACACCTCAACTCTACTTTGCCCAATGCCTTTTAAGTAAAAATGTCATCAGGAAAGGTACAGCAGCCTTCCCAGCAGTCTAATCCACATGCAGTCACAACACAGACCTCCCTCCTTTAACACAATTCATGGTCATGAAATGCTTTCAAAGTGTCCAGCAGACTAGCCAAAATATTTGTTTCAGAAAAACTATGTGTAAAATTAGTGATGTTTCAAATGTACTATGTGGGCTCACTATATGGAAAAATTATATTGGTCAATCCTTAATTTCTTAAAAATAAAATTCAGCTGCCTATGCAGTCAGGGGTTAATAATGCCTGCCAAGGGAAGGGGGGGGTGCAGTGAGTTATCCATTTATTTAATCAAAGGTTCTGGACCATGATTGACCTTCCCAACCCTCAGAAGGGCCAGCATTGCACACAAACCCTTTCCCAACCCCAACCTCTGACGTCACCACCTTCGTTGCTCTGCACTATGAGCCCCCACCATATTTCTAAAATCACCTTCATCTCTCCACTGCGCCTTATGAAGGTCAAAGATCCTGTAAAACACTCTCCCCTCTTTTACTCTCTCTTCTTCTTTTTGCTGAAGTTAAAAGAAACCGCAGGTGGAACAACTGTAAAAAAAGGATCAGCTGTGGTACCATGTAGGAAAAAGCTGACTTCTTAACCCACAACACTTAACTCCAGACTCCAATACTCTTATTTTTAGGAGACATAAACGGTAAACTTCAGATTCAAAGTGCAACGATGCCATCATTCAAATAAAGTAGTTCAGCAAAAAACAGTAAGAAAGAAAACACACAAACAAGTAAAGAAAATTTGGCAAAATATTCATTGTTAACTATAGCCAGTAGGAATATAAACAGGTGTTCATTATACCGTTCTTTACATGTGTCTGTACATTTAACATTTTCACAACTAAAAAAAGTGGTTTCAATGGCTCCCATAACTTCCTGGTTTCTAAATACACAATGGGCCTAAAACAGACATTTTCATTACATAGATCATCACTTTTTTCTATTTTGGTTTTATTTCTTTTATTTTGCTTATTTAAATTTTTTTCTAATTTGTAAAATTTTTATTGTAATTTTTATTTACTTTTTTTATTTTTTAGCAAAGCAAAGGCTTTAACTAAACCAAATTCAAATCAGCAATAACAACTTTCTCTGGATCTAGGTGTGTTGTTTCCACAGATGGAGAGAGATGCTGAGATTCACGTCGATAACTAAGGATTTTCACCCTATACTGGTATTTACTCAGGGTGGAAGAACCTGTTTAATTTTTTGTTGGAACACAGTGTAGATGGGATTTCTTTTTCTTTTTCTTTTTTTTTTCTCTTTTGCACCTCTGGATCTCAGGCAAATATGCAGATGGGATTTAAAGCTGGAAGCACTGTTTATTAATAGTTTTTAATTCCCAAAAGCTAGGAACTAAACCCTCAGCTCCCAGCACTAGCCACTGGGATGCTTTCCATGCAACAGGCACTCAAGAAATGCCAGTTGCTGACAACAGGAATAAGTCAGAAGACAATCAATTCTGAAATTGTTCTTCCTTTGGCTGCCCAAGCTCAGAGCTGGCAGTTTTGACTTCAACTAGAACAGGCATATGAAAAAGGCTAGGGTAGCTGCAGAAGTAGACTCCAAAAATGCAGACTTACTTCCCAGAGTTGACGCCCTTCATGTGGTCTGTGTAAATATAGATGTCGGGTATGAACTTGTTCAGGATGCTCCTTGCAGAATCCACAATCCGGTTTGCCATCTGAGGTGACACACGCACGGAGTACCTACAACCTAGAGTTAAGGATGTCATTCTGCTTGGACTCCAAGACAGAGGCAAGTCAGTTATAAAGCTGGCAAACATTTGTGAAACTGTAATAACAAACTGGGACTTCCAACTGTATTCATTACTCAACTTTATGGTACTGTAATGAAATTGTTTTCACTATAATTATATTAGGCTTAAATGGTCATGGTGAAAAAAATCCAAATGATACAGAAAGCAGAAAGTATAAAGTAAGAGTTCCTCACCCCTGGCCCTGACTTCCTACCCATACCACCCACCCTTAGAACCTCAGACCAGAAAAGTCACCACACTGGGGCTAAAGTAGGACAGTCCCAATCTGCCCCCTGGTATGCTGACAAAGGAAGCAAAAAATGTTTCGTGAAAGAACAGGGTAGCTGCTATTTATAAAGAACTAACAGGTATTCCTAATTTATAGAGCCTATTTTCTATTATTTAAGAATTAATTACTCCACTTGTGGATGAAATAGCCTCCTTACACCTGCTTTCTTATGGTCCAAATGCCAATAATTAGCACTCCTACAACAGGGCACCCCAGAAAATAAAGGAGGAAGACGTTAGTAACTGAAGCGAAAGGGCTGGAGCTTGAGGAAACAGAAACTATTACCCAAAATTAGACTTTATATCAGAGGCTGGCTCTCCCCATCCCCACATGTCAAAGAAAAAATAAGTATGTACTGTGTACTTTCAATGTGCAATGTATGGTCAAGAGCTGGTTGTACACGCGGCACTAAAGAAATGGAGCAAAAATAGCATGGAGCCATAACTCTGATACAAACCCCACGTGGCAAGTCCAACAGGAAAAACAAGGTATGTGATCGGCACCTTCCAGCCCAACTGTTCAAGAATTACTGTCAATACAAACTTAATTTTCATTTGAGCTGTAGAAACAAAATGCTCAGAGACCATGAAAGGAACCTGACCTAGCAGAGCTAGCTCCCTTTTGGACCTGTCCTGCATGCTCCACTGAAAGATCAATCTTATGCTGATGAGAGTCTCCCGGCGACTCTTGACCCTCCCAGACCCTGCTGTCGGAGCCCCCACCCTGGCTCAGTGTGTCTGTCCCCAACTCAGCCCCATCAACCCCTCCACCCATCCAAATAGTCCAAACTCTTCAACATGAGCTGCCCTCCCCCTTTCTTCCAGCCTCACGTTCCCTCCGTCTCCTGGAAACCTCCAGTCAGCAACCGTGATCTCCACTTGAACTTACCATACACCTCTCTTCACAGACACACATTTTGTTCTTGCTCTTCAGCGAGACCACACACTCCATAAGGGCAGGGGCTTTACTTTTGTATCCCTCCTAAGTCTCTCATACACTACTTTTGTACTCAGAAATGCTCAATAAATATTTGACTTGAATTAAAGGACAAACCTGAAATGAGGAAAGAGCAAAGAGGGATTTTTCAATACACACACAGAGCACAGTTACATCACCACCTCTTAGGTCCAGAACGTACTTTTGACCACAGACAGCCTAGACAAACAGTCCCACGTCTCATACCCTTTGGACTGAGTTGGTGTTATCCTTCTGAGGCTGCCCACTGTCCCCAGGACAGCACAGGAGATGTCACCATCCTAACATAATCCCACAGCATTCACGGCTCCCACAGACATCATCACTTTATTTTGTGCTCGCAGCAACCCTGTGGCAAGGGCCATGATTCTTAGTTCTAGGGCTTACACTAAGGACAACTAAGACACAAAACTAAGATACTTGCTCAAAATTAAACAGATCTGACTCTCAAAAAACATCTTCCTCTCACCCCTCCAGAGATATGGAAACTGGGAGGGTAACAGGACCGATTCAGGGCCAATGGAAGCCTATACTAGGATTCGGGCAGCAAAATGGAGAAGGCAAAGGAGCTTTAAAGCAGATACATCGAGTTACTTAGAGCCATCTCATCTGGCTTGGCATGGAGGCCCTCCTGAGGGATGGCTAAGAAGCTGAGTTCTAGAATCAGACTATCTGCGTTCAAGCCCCAGCAGCTCCAGCAAACTGCATCGCTCTGGGTCAAGTGTGCTAACTGCTTTATGCCTCCACTTCCTCACCAGTAAATGAAGAATAATCATAATACTTTCCTCACCAGGTTTGGAGGCACAAATGAAATAAAAAAAGTGCTTAGTGCCAGGTGTGTGGTAGGAGCCCAGCAAATGTCAGCTATTGCTTTTCTTATTATCAGTCCAAGATTCAAACCCCAAAGCAGAGGTTCCTATCATTTCAGGAATCAGAGAGCCCTCTGAGAATCTGAGGAAAGCTATGGACCCTCTCCTGAGAAACGTATATGTACTCACAATTTTGCAGAAAATTTCAGGGTTTTGTGAACCTCCTAAAGCCCATTAATGAACACCACATTAAGAACCAATACCCAAGAGACAAGTTCATAGCTACAGTCCATGTGGGACTCCCACCACCCTTCATCCACCATAGTCTTCCAGGTAAGAGAGGGCTGGGGGGGGTGGTGTTTGTGTGTGTGATGGTGTTGAATGAGCGAGAGAGAGTGAGAGAGACAGACTGATTGATTCTCAAAGTACCTTCCCTACAGTCAAGAAAAGGAAACCAGATCATCCCACAAATTCCAACTCACCTCCTCATCTGCCTTTACCTCAGCTTCTTCGCTTAACTCTATGTACCAAATTATAAGCTACCCGGACAGCACCACAAAACTAAAACAGAGTGCTCCTTTCTCTGTCGCCCCACATCAGGCAGGAGGGAGAATCAGCATGGGTGGCATTAAATAAAAGGTAACTACTGTCTAGTCACAGCTGCTGGCAGGAACCCACACCAGCTCCCTCCCAGGCCCTGGCCAGTAGGTCATCATGTAGAATGCAAGAGGGAAAAGATGTGCTTTGGAGAGTAACTCAGTTAAAACCACAAATGCACACAGGAGAGGGGAGCTAGTTCTCCCAACTTGAGCCCTCCTAGGAGGAATACAACCTCTAAGCTCAGTCTAGCAGTCAACCAGCCTTGCCTGTAAAAAACCACAAACCAACTAAAGCATTTTCCAAAGGCAGCGCTTTTTTCCCAGGCCTCAAAACTGGCAAAGGTGATCTCCATTCAAACCCACATTCCTTTGAGGTGTTTGTTAGACGGGCAGCTCTGCAGACCGGTGGCCAGAATGTTTAGTTTACAGACAGGGATCTGAGCAAGGGCGCTGTGTCAACTTTCCAGGGTAGTTAGGAGGAAGCTTCTTTAAGTCAGAGATATACTGTGGATGATTTAGGTGTGCTGTCCCCTGCCTCAAGGAAGGGAGGGACTTGGGACCTCACAAGTGTCTTCCTGGCTCAGGTTCTATTCAGGGAAGGTTCAAAAAAAAAAACATAAGCCAAGGAGGAACAAAGGATGCCCACCCAGGATGCCTGGACACCACAGCTCTTTTTGCCAGCATCCTCATCAAAACACTACTCACGAGGCATTTGCACATCCAGACAGAGAGTTCTAGGGGACTCAACGTTAACAGCCTCCATGAAACCCACATTGTTATGACAAGATTGTGGCAAAACAAACAGAGCACAATGCCTGAAATCACATTTCCATATTACAGAGACTGGATTCCAAGCTGAGTTCACTGCTGCAAAACAGCATTAAGGAAACACATCTCAAATGAGAAAAAAAAACCTGAAATAGTCCTGTAAGTATGTAGGATTTCATGTACAAGGCCATCAACTGCAGCATTTTTATAGAAAACAACTCAATGGCCATTAACAGGGTGTGATTTGGGGTTCTTTATATGATGGAATACAATGTGCCTGTTAAGAACGAGATTGATCTATACGTAACTGACGCTGATCAAGTAGAAGAGACATATTTGGTTTGTTTGGTTTTTTTTTAAAAAAAAAACACTTTAGTCACACTGCATTTCCATCTCTTTTAAGCTTCTCATTAACCTTGTTCCAACTTGTCAGAATTGGAGAGTATTAGAGTTGAACATCACCTTAGTAAGTCACAGCATCGATTTTACTATCCATCAAGCTGAGGGCTCCCAGGATAGGAACGATTTCACTTCCTGTCCACTCTTCCTGGTACCTACATGGCCTGGCCCTTAGGTGGGCCCCAGGACAGCCATGCAGAGAACAGACCATAATCCAGCCAAGCTTTATTCATACTCCTCTGCTCTTATAATCCCTACAAAGAATTTCAAGCAGCACCCAAAGTTTGATCCTTTATCTCAACTACTACTCTCTCTAGTTGTGGCTGTGCAGCCCACCCTGTTCCACGTCCTTCGCCACTTCCTATTCAAGCTAATCAAGGCTTCTGAAAAGACAGTCCACACTATACTTCTTTTCCTCCAAGTAAGACCATCCCAAACCTCTTGAGAAATACAAGTGACCTTAAGCATCCACTCTCCCACCCCAAGAAGCAGGCATCCTGGTCTACCTCCCTTGTCACTCTCTCACCAGGAGTCATCATCCAGCTCCCTAGCCTCCAATACCTGTCCCCTCCTGGATCATGTCAGCACCTAAGATTTTACCACTTTTAATATCTGAAATCCCAAAACAGAATTTCCTAAACACAATCCCTTATCCTACGCAGGACACATATCTATTAGCTTAGTGGGTATGAAACATCCTATTTCCTTAAATACTAAGTTTGACAACTGATATCGCTGACATTTCAGTTTGACACTTTTTGTTTTGTTTTTATTGTGAAGGTACATACTTGCTCTTTCAAAGGCACATTTTGGCTTGTGATTATCTTTTTTATTTTTTTAGAGTAATTTTTGTAAAACTATGGATAAGTCAAAAATTTGTGTTATTTTCAAATATGAGTGCTGTCACGGAACCAATGCAGCACAGACAGCTCAAAATATCAACAAAGTGTTTGGGAACGTTGTGGCTAATAAACGCATAGTACGTTGACGGTTAGAAAAGTTCTGTTCTGTTCATTTTAATCTTGAAAATGAGCCATGTGAGCGACCTGAGACCAAGGTGGATAATGATGAGCTGAAAGCTGTAGTGGAAGTAAATCCATCTCAACCTACG